CCTTTTGAGCATGCGTAAATGCCTTTATTGCAACAAAAATATGACGTCAAGCACTTAAATGGCTTCATCCCGGCAATGTATTTTGTCCATATAAACACAAGGCGAGTATCCCGTCTAGGCGGGATGAAAACGTCCCGTCTAGGCGGGATCATCTAAACAGGTCCTAAAAGGCCGCCCTCGTGCAAGTAAGGCAGTAAAAATTTAAAGAGCGTCGCGGCACTTTTAAGTAATCAAAATTAAACAAGTGAATACACTAAAAAATGTTGCGGCAATAAAAGTTTAAAATCTCAATTAACATCTAACGCACTCGAGCTTAAGCAAGCAATTCTTTTGGAGGGTGTAGCTCGGTTGGCGAGGTTCCGGCTGCTTAGTTTACTCGGCAAGCCGGCTTACGATGAACTCCATTCTGCGCAGCTGTCTTCTCGGTAGAAGAGACTTTCAGCCATCCCAGCATCCCGACTTGACTAATATCAATGATGCCGAGAATTAGCCTCTCCAAGGACAGAGCTAACGTCACACCACAGGTGGAAACGGAATTAAATAAAATAGTAACATGAACGTACGAGATATCTTACCTGGTAAGCATACAAAGCCGAACACAACGAATTATATGCACCTACCGACCAAAGGGAAACCAAAAAGAAAAACAACGCTGGATAACGCAGGATACCAATCTAAAAGAAATCACCCGGACTAGCCGGAGAGCAAGCCCGACGAGCGGGTGCGGCATAATGCAAATAACGAACACAACAGGGACATTTCTAGCAAGGATGACAAAAAGGACTACCCCCACCATTTACACTGTGCCAAGGACACACACAACAGAGAATAAGCACTTCACAGACAGACAAAAGGACTAATGGTGAGGGGACAAACGCACGTACAAGCAGACGAACAAATCACGAAAATTAAATATGCTGATGCACAGATACACACCTCGGCAAGCAGCCGCACGGGGAGGGGGGGGGGGAGCAGACAGGCAGCCCATGGGACCGGCAAAAAACAGCCGGAGGTAGACCGGCAAGCAGCCAGCAAGCACAGGCAAGCAGCCTGAAAACAAAAACCCGGCAAGCAGCCGGCGCCACCGCAGGTAAGGGGGAAACACTATCGGGTGGGTTGGTGGGAAATCGAGTTCACAGTGTGAGAAGCAGTATGCAAGTGAGCACAGCCCGTGAGCACAGCAAATGGCAAACTCCCGCCCGCTGACAACAGACTGCTTCTGATTGGTCAATGAAATTGAACCCTGCATAAATGCATAATTTACATATTATAACAACCCACATCACAACTCGTGCTAGAAGTTAACTATTTTTATTGCATAAACACATGAAATCTAATCTCATGGGTATACGATGGATTCCAATTTTTCTATTCTTCATGAAAAAGTTTGCGGTCTTTCCTTATATTCAGAAATGCTTAAAATATACGCGGTTTAAAATGTGAAAAATCATTCTTTATATACTTGGAAGCCTGTGAAAATTTTTATAAGGCTTTTTTATGATTTTTACAACTAGAAATTTTTCAATTACCAGAGAATGGTGCAAACAACAAGTGAACGAAAGAAGTCAAGAAGAAGCAAACATTTCGCAAGCTAATAGACTATATGATTTGAAAGCACGAGAGTTGGACCAGAGAGCTGTGGAACTTGCTGAATCAGAACGTCAGTGTAGAGAAGCAATCGACCTTGCTACAGCAAAATATAACGCCGCATTAGCCAGAGAAACCAAGGCAAATAATGAGCAGGCCAAAACTCAGGAACAAGACGATGACTTCACAGAGATGTCAAATCACATCTTTGGAGATATTCTTACGGAGAACCCCGATGTTGCTCAGAGTGCTTTTGGTTCACATCGAGTGATTCCTGATAGATGGAAAGGAATGAGTCCTGCCCAAGTGAATGAAATAAGAAAAACACAGCATGATCAGATGCTTGAGAAACAGGTATGGAATATAGCGATCATGATTAAGCATAGGGTATAAGAAGTACAGAATGGTGAACGCGTAATTCGTACCACCATGACGATGTTTTTATATAGCTGTTACCACGCCCTGCTGTTACTAAGATCACATATAAGAGTAGGTTGTTTTCTCTTGACTTCGTATTTATAGCTATATTCCAATACAGGTATGATTTATATTATTTGTCACATATGGTACATTCTAAAAACACCCTGGTTAGAAATTTCCTGGTTAAACTAAAATTGACACTGTTGCATGGGGTAACTTAATGTTCCTGGTTAAACTTCCTTGTTAACTTAGCCACAGTCTTGGTTAATTTGGCCATGGTCCTGACTATATTCAATCAGGATTCCTGAAATAAGAAAAACACACCAAGAATTCCTGGTTAATAACCCACCTAACATAATCTGGTTAATTCAACCATATAGCCTGGTTAAGATAACCAGGAATCCTGGTTAAATTAGCGACTATATAGTGTCAAAATAACCAAGACTGCATGTGATTAAATGAACCAGGAAATTAATTACCCGAAACATGCATGGTTAATTTTAGAATAACTAGAAATTGTTAACCACGGTGTTTTTAGGTGTACATTTCAAACTTGTAGTGGTCTATTTTGATAAATATAGAGTTTATATACTAGGTTCTGGTTATCCATTCTATCAAACATAGTAAGTTACGTGATTTTGCAACGTTGTATTCCTTCTCTCTCTAGAATTAGTCTTTACATACTATTTATATAGTACTGTACTATCTGTATGCACTATCAATTGCAAGATCTGATTTGGTTTCTGTTCTTTGTGTATAGCGTCTTGAAGAAGAAGAAAGACGGAAACAAGAAGAATGGGAAAGATTACAACTTGCTCAAGCTAAAGCTGGTATTCTGGCTGAACGAGAACAAGAACGAGTGAGAAAACAATTGAACAAGCAACTTATCAATGACAATTCACGACTTGCTTCGGAACAAAAAATCTAGTGAGTATACAATTGTGTCGTTTCATGTGGCATTTAACTGTTGTATACCCCGGCTAATATAATACCAGGCTATCGAATATCTATACGAACACTCGAAATATTAACAATTGTTTAGTTAGACACGTATATACCAGGGGCCGGTTGTATAAAAAAGTGATTAAAGTTAACTATACAGGGTGTCTAAGAAAAAACGCTATGGAAATTCAACAGGCTGTCGTGTATCATAAACGTGGCTAAACAATTCAAGTTTTAGATAGGACGAAAGAACAGTTATTTAGCTTCTCAATGATACTCTTTTTAAATCGTAATGATGAGAAATGGCCACATACTCGCCAAATAAAAATTGCCGGTCGAAATCACATTCTTCCACCGTTGGGAGTTGCATGGAAAACGAACAATAAACAATTCCCAAGAGGGAATTAAAATTGAATTGTTAAATAATCTAAAATAAGCTCAACTAGTCAATCTTTGTCTTAGTGAGACCATATAAGAACGTCCATTATTGCATTAAACATGGTCCCATTAACCACTGAACAGAGAACATTCGTAGTAATCAAAACGTTTTACGAAACAAGTACCTTAATTGCAGAAGGCTCGCGTTGCTTTTGGATTGATTAACTTTGCATAATTAATGTATTTTCAATTCCCAACGGTGGAAGAATGTGATTTCAACCGACAATTTTTATTTGACGAGTATGTGGCCATTTCTCATCGTTACGGTTTAAGAAAGGTATCATAGAAAAGCTAAATAACAGCTCTTTCGTCCTATGTAAAAATTGAACTGTTTAGTTAAAAAGTTTGTGATGCACAACAGCCTGTTGAATTTACATAGCGTTTTTTTTGAGACACCCTGTAGTTAGTGGAAATGTCATCCAATAAGAAGCGCGTATTTGAGAGTTAATCACTATTTAACTACAAAATAGTGATTAAAAAAGTGATTAAGAGTTTTATACAACCGGCCCCAGTACTAAAAAATACAAGACATTTTTCACGTCTAACACTATTTAAGAAAAATATATTGATCAGCAGAATTAGTGTGGGAAGTATTTAGCATTAATACAAGTAATTGATATATACATGCACGCACACATTAAATTTTATGAATTTATTTTCAGCCAACAACATCTCAACAATGAAGTCTATACAAATCCGCCGACAGCTAATTTCTTCATGCAATTCAACACAAGTAGCAGATGAACTTCACTCTTATTCACTGTGGAGTATTTCATACTTGAAATGTTATAAACAAGATGTGCGAGGCTGATATTTTGAACACTTGAGAAAATTGTAAAATTTTGACGATTTCTTATGTATCAGGATATTATTGAATATTAATTTTAATTTTTTCGCCTTATTATTATTATTATTATTATTATCATTAATGTTTTACATTTGACAATATCACGTTTGACTGCAGTCTATTTGGTATATAATGTAGTATGTATGTGATCATATTTACAAACTATATAGGTTAAATGCATACAGAACTTAAAATAGCCTAAAACAAAAATGGAAGTCGTCTTTGTCTGTGAGGAGTGCATGGCAGTAGTACTCCCTTCTCTAAAGATTTGATCACATCAGTAAGAATTCATCATTTGAGTGCTGTTATGTCATTTTGTTTTTGCCAGTAAAATGTCCCTTGTGCGAAATCAGCCAAGGGTAACTTCACATCCTCGTACCCGGCACTATGGTTTACAACTTCGCGCGGTCCGTGCACTATTGTTATAACCAGCAACCGACTACAGTTTCCACGCGCGGGTCACGCGACAACGTAGCAAACCAAAGCGCATGGAAACGAGGCTGTTAATGGACCATTTGCATTATAGACTAAATTTTGATCTAGACAAAAATTTCATCACAGCTTGAAAGAGCATCACAAAATTAGTAATATTCCAAAGTTTCGTTGCGAAATGTCGTAGAATGCGGATAATATAGCCTTGCGAAATTTGCAATTTTCAGTCATTTTGTATTACAAACGGGAAATTGATGCCCCAACACCCGATTGGGCTGTCAATTTCCCGTGCGTAATACAAAATGACTGAAAAACGGAAAATTTCGCATGGCTATATTATCCGCATTCTACAACATTTCGCAACAAAACTTTGGAATATTACTAATTTTGTGATGCTCTTTCAAGCTGTCAATGAAATTTTTGTCTAGATCAAAATTTAGTCTATAATGCAAATGGTCCATTGCATCATGTATTGATGTGGTTCTCACTACCAAAAGGGTGCGAGCGATTTTTCGCCATGTTTTGAGTTGCAATAATTTCCAAGCAGTTAACTATTAAAGACAGTTTAGCCGTACAGTATTTCCAGTCCGTTCGCACCAAATTCTACCGATTGAAACCAGACACTATTCCAGACCTAATCAAACCAAGTCTTTCCAAATTTTATACCGACTTCACATATTGTGTCACTGAATTCTTCCTAATTTTGTGTACGTCAAATATACTGAAATAAAGGTTATCCTTACTTCATTAGCCCATGATCACTTGCAACGTCCGCTTACTGTATACTATTATAATACCCAATTGGTATACACACTGTAGAGCATTGCATCCTGAACACCATATATAGTTCTATTACTTTAAAGACCAGATTCTGCAATATCAGTTAATATATCAATTTTAGTAAAATACCGGTAGTTATTAACTCCAATTAGCCTTTCTCTAAATGTTTGGGGTACTTCGGAATCCTATCTGCGAAATGCGACTTTTTATAACTTGCATGTGTGTATGTTATATGTACAGTTACAACCTTGAAAAGTCGCTTTTGACATTGTTTAGAATTGTCTACGTTCTCTGACGTGGGGGGAGACAGTACCCCAAAAATGCGGATATAGACTTGCGTATAAGAAACAACCTCGCAAGCCAGGCTCTCTATACTTCCGCTTCCCTCCCAAACACGCTGGCAGCACAGAATACTATACAGAAGTCCATCTCCATTGTTTTTTGCGTAAGCGCTATTCGTCATGATTCGTCACTCAACAAGTACCGTAAACAGAAGCAGTCACCCCCCTGGACGTGTGCCATTTTGAATATTTCCAGGGGGTGACTGCTTCTGTTTACGGAACTTGGAGATGGACTTCTGTATAGTATTCTGTGCTAGTTATTGCTGGTAGGGAAGTGGAATTCGGTAGAGAGCTTGGCTTGCTAGGTTGCGTAAGAAAGGCTAATAGCACTTATGCATACTCATGCGCACACTAATTCGTCAAGAAGCACAGAATATACAGTATATACTTACGAAGCTCAGGACAACTGGATGTAATCAAGCCTTTGTTGTAGAGATTCAAAATTGAATCTGCTACCACTTTTGCAGTTCGTTTCTGGAGAAAAAAACATGCCAAATATTAATTTTCATCCTGAGCCTCTCCCAATATTTCGGCATTTTTGGAACATACCATCGTTTAAAACAATCGAAAAGTTTCTGCGAAACATGTACATATAGAAATCTAGTCTGTTGGATACTAACTTCCCGACGGAGGGCCTTCGCCAGTGGCCTTCGCTCGAACGTCGAAGTTCTGCTAATATTTTTTAGGTAGATCTCTCTCAATCCGCAGTTGTATTGTGATCTTCGCTACCTACCACTGGCACCGACCTTTCGAAATCTAGCCATTTAAGGGATCCCTGGAAGAGGTGCTATTTGTCCAAGCCTCGCCATTTTTTTGCTGATAGCCTTTTTGCTTTCGCCATTTTGGGGGTACCCTAACAGAGGTCTTCATATTTCTGCTGCTATTTGTCCTAAATTAACAATTTGTCTGATAGCCCTTGACCAAGGCTTTTATCATGTAAAAATCTTAGAATTTGGTTACATAGTTTTTGTCCCTCCCCCGAGATTATCGAATATTCTGTGATCAGGCCAATAGAAACATATAACGACAATCCAGAAGACTTACTGTATCCATGAGATGTAAAATAATACCTGATACCCTCCTGATGTGACCATAAAAATTGGTATATTTTTCTCTCTGGCCGATTTGAACACTAGCTCGTCCCTCTGTATAATACCCTGAATTGTTGAATAAATAATACACGCGTTTTTACATACTAAACGACAAACGATCGTTATATGTTCATCATTTTTTTTGGTTTGTGGAAACACCATGCACATATATTTACTATTGCAAAACTCTCGATCTGTAAGCGCGGATCTTCATAGTGGCTATTAATTAAGAATTATATTAACATCCGAGCTTACGAATCGCAAGCCTTCGTGTTCCCACAAACCAAAACAAAACTAACGATTTTAGTCAACAATACCCGGAAAATGTCAGGCTTTGCGGTAACTTGCGGGCTGTACACCTGGATCCCCGCGTGTATCATTAATTACCCGCGAATGCCTGACATTTTCGTATGTAAACGCCAATGCGGAGGAGAGAGCCTTTGCTCGAAACTTCGAAGTCTGTTCTTAGTTTTCATACACACAAGCCTGCAAATTGTTTTCTTTTTGCTACCTATACTGGCACGCAACATCCCAATCTCGTACCCAGAGTATGCCCGTTTGCAGGTTAGGTGCTGGATCCAGGAAATTACCAAACGCCTTCCTCGTTATTGCCCCTCCCTTTAAAGACCGATTTACACTACACAACTTTTGCCTAAATCTTTCGCATGCAACTTGCTTACAACTCGAGTTGTACTAGGTGTAAATCAAGCATACAACTCGCCAACGTTGTCGTAAATGCGACAGTTTTAGGAAAAAGTTGTGTAGTTTAAAAAATTGCGTATAAAGTTCAGGTTATTTAAAGTGGAAGTCAAGTCCGTAGTTTACATTTTGAACTGCTGTATTTTTTAAAATATGATGTACTGTCTGAATATCTAACATCATTTTGGTTCGCTATGCTTCTAAATGAATATGAAATAGAGTTTATGTTCAGAAAAATTCGAAACATTCGAAATTTGGGCAATGTTCACATTAGAGGTCCTCACATTGTTATGAGCAGAACCGATGCGCAGAACGGACTTGACTTCCACTTTAATAATCATGTGTAAAGTTCGGGCCAACTTAGTATGAATTACCTCCACAACGCATTGGCCCCGTACACCCGTATTCATTAACTGATTATTTTTGGTCCCATCACTGAACTTCTATTTATGAACTCATAAGTCTACAGTTAAACAGTGATAACATGATCAGTACCTGCTCAGTAACAGCCAAGTTTCCAAGAGGGTCACCTTCAAGAACATCAGTTCCTGGAGAATAATATTTAATACAGGCTTAATTAAGCGCCATGGCCCATGTCTGTTAAGGCCTGATTCCACGAGGCGGAATTTTTCGACCGAAACGAAATTTTTCTTTGTCTTTTTACAATTAGTTCTGCTCGAGAGCTCATGAAACAAAGAGAAATTTCGATTCGGTCGAAAAATTTCGCCTAGTGGAAAACCGCCTTTAATGGTATGTAAAAAAGTATTCGCAGAGCAATTTTTAGCACATTTTATTCCACTGCTGTTTTCCTTATTTACAGTAATATGTCCAATAGACCTTTCCCCTTATGAATGAAATTTTGATCTAGACAAGCCTGGACAAAAATTTCATCACGGCTTGAAAGAGCATCACAAAATTAGTAATATTCCGAAGTTTCGTTGCGAAATGTTGTAAAATGCGGATAATTTTCGACCGAAACGAAATTTCTCTTTGTCTTTTTACAATTAGTTCTGCTTGAGAGCTCATGAAACAAAGAGAAATTTCGATTCGGTCGAAAAATTTCGCCTAGTGGAAAACCGCCTTTAAAGGCCGTTTTCCACTAGGCGGAATTTTCCGCGCGGAGCGCAATTTGTCTTTGTCTTTTCTAATTAGTTCCACCCGAGAAATCACAAGACAAAGAGAAATTCCGCTCCGCGCGGAAAATTCCGCCTAGTGGAAAACAGCCTTAAGGCCTGATTCCACGAGCGCTTTTTGTCGGCGAAATGCGAAATATTTCGCCTGTTTCTTTTGAATTGCGACCACTCGAATAAATTATTTCTACTTGATTGCTCACAATTCAAAAGAAACAGGCGAAATATTTCGCTGACAAAAAGCGCTCGTGGAATCAGGGCTTTACGAAGTTTGCCGTTTTTCAGTCATTTTGTATTACAAATGGGAAATTGGTAATCAGTTTGATCATCTGATTATCAATTTCCAGTTTGTAATGCAAAATGACTGAAAAACGGCAAACTTCGTAAAGCTATATTATCCGCATTTTACAACATTTCGCAACGAAACTTCGGAATATTACCAATTTTGTGATGCTCTTTCAAGCTGTGATGACATTTTTGTCCAGACTTGTCTAGATCAAAATTTCACTCAAAAGGGGAAAGGTCTATTGGCGACGTGAGAACTGAGTGAGAATGAAAAACATCCACTGAACTTCGAAGCTTTAGTATACGGTATCTCAGCCACAGGCAATCTATTCGATATTCATCCAGTACCTAATTGCTGCGGAGCGAGCGAGCCTGAAGCGAGCGAGCGTAGCAGCAACCTAATATATGCAGAGAGGGGGTTTTGAACTAAATTTTATTTAGCGCATGGAATTGTGGTCGTGCGCGCTTTCTATGCGCAGAACACAAATTTTAAACTCGCTCGAGGACTCTTCAATTTTTATCGAATTTCTAATGCTTTTTCAAGTCTAATCACTCTAATGTTACGCTTACATTTGTTTTGGACTTTGGCCACTGTCAGTTCTATATTTTTATAAAGTTTTGGTTTCTTAGCGTGATAAATCTGTGTATATAGTGTATATAATGTGGTAAATGCGCCCAGCAGTAAACAGACTTGATATGAAATCTGACCTTAATGAGACGCACATGTTTAATATCTGTCACCTCTGATTGCCCTTTAACCCCTGGTCTTTGCTACTTCAATGTAGCCTATGTTGCTTCTTCTCAGTCCCATTCACAGCTCACTAGTTGCTGCAAGTAATCACTGTGCTTGATATAATCTGTGCTGTTTACTGTAGTTCTATTTGCTTTTAATGCCCGCAGCAATCCCTACCTTGCAGGTACCCTAGTTATATAACTAGTGTCTGTGACACGACCTCAAATTTATATACGTCGGTCTAGACAAGAACACAAATTTAAACACCATGCACGTTTAACAAATTTAAACACCATTCGCGTCCGTGTTGTATTGGATGTACAAACTCTCGTCTTCGGCTCGAGTTTGTACATCCGATCACGGACGCTCATGTTGTAAATAGTACATAGTACATGCATACAGTATTTTAATACTGCTTAAATTTAATATTGCTTAAAAGCAATATAAAGTACCTGCATTGTAGATAATGATATCTGGATGAAATTCACTCAATGCTTCTTTGATATTGCTGTAAGGAATATAATAAAATTGTAAACTTCGTCATTATATTCAATACAAGTTCTAAACTAACTTCTGCTTTTCGGACGGTTGTTCGAAATCCTATAGTTTAACCTAAAACTGTGCCTATTCAAAACGTGGAAATCTTTAGTCCCACAAATCTTGTCTGGATCAATAGCAGTTTTATTATCTAGAGTTTTTATAGAAAAATACGTCCAGAAATGACAAATCAACCCAGGGTTAGGGCTAATTTATTTATTTATTTATTTAAATAAATTAGCCCTAACCCTGGGTTGATTTGGCTAATCATGCTCTTTGAAGTTTGTTGTAGTAAGCAAATACCTAGCTTGCTCGCAGCCAGAACGATCCGTTTCAAATTTTCGGGTGGGGGCTGCTGAGCAGGCTAGCAAATACCCCCATAATGGGACACTTCTAATTAGAAGAAAATGTATATTACGTTGTATAGAGGTTTAAATGTATATTGCGTCATTTACCTTTCAACGAGAGCAAGGTACGTCGCATCATCAGTTCCATGTCGTAACTCAACTTTTTTCTTAATTGCTCCTACATAAAATAAAGTGGACTATAAGACACTACGTGTCTTCCAGTAGCTTACAGCTAAATATGGAAATCACGCAACCTACACATCACTCAGTTATCTGCTAGCAGATAGTTTAACTGAGTTATGTGTAGTTTGAGCCCGCGGTAAGTAATTTTATAGCAAGCGGCAGTTTTAAACACACGAATAAAAACAAGAAAAATAGGCACCGGAGGAGTGCGTAAGTATTTGCAATTTTGTTGTCAATTATATAATGCAAGAAACGTGGAAAAATATCGCCCAAAATGTACGACAAACACAAATGGTGGATAATAGCTTCCGGCGGTACACGAATACTCGACTCGGAACTCAATGTTAATTCAATTATCCTACGTTATACGTGTTACTATCTATCTATCTTACAAACCCGATGACAAAGGACTTTGCTTCGCAAATCCTTAAAAAAAACCATCATGAAATGGCGGCGTTTTTGTGGATGTTTTTTGTGCAAAAGCATTTTTGCACACATTTATTTTGGCATATTTATCGGCACTTTAGTAGGTAAATGGCCAAATGGGCTAATATTTTTTTATGCTGTTATTGTGATATTTTAAATCGTTTTCACTGACACTGCTTTTTTTGAGAACCAAACGTTGTTTTGTGCGACAAATCATTGTTTGTCGAAAGAGTTATTAATGAAAATGCAATGTATAATAAAACAGTTATTGAATTCGGTTTTCATATCCGGAATTATCAAGGTCTCGGTATAAGTACTATCAATCTCGTCTCGGGCTCGATAATTCTGGATATCACGAAAACCTCATCCAATAACTGTTTATTAATATTTCTATTGAGTTTTACATTGTAACATTCCTTAAATCATACTTTTTGCATAGACATCACGAGGATAAATTCCAGAGTTGTAAACGTCCATGATATACACATCAGGATTATCTATAAAATCACGCTCGTGACCATTGCCCTGTCGAAAGTAGAAAGAAATTTACTATCTGGCCAATTTTGAAGGTGCAACAGTGAGCTCTATGATACACTGGACTAAGAACGTCAGGCAATGCAACGTCTGCATGTTTGAAGTTGACATCATCCTGGAAACATCTCATAACTGCAAGAGCCCGCTGATCTCACAGGCTGGCTCAAATTCCATGCCATTCAAATATATATGTAAACAGTATAACATACGTGCCTGGTGGGCATCGAGGTCTATTATCATTGCTTTTGAAATTGATTGAACATTCTTGAACAAAAACTAAACATGAAATGAAAGCACAATCAAGTTCAAGTACATGAACATAACAAAAGGAGCAAGTTAATCAGACTGAAGGTTTCGTGTCTCTATACGACCAAGCGCTTTTGGGGAACAAGACAGTTGTTTCATGGGTATAGTTAGAAAATAGCCCACTTATATTAGTCACATTGTAGACAAAAGAATGTTAACAGACGACATTCAACCTACATGAATTGATAATGTGATGTCAGCGTAAGCACAGAATCCTCCTCCATCATCACCACGACAATGATGAAAACCGCCCCCTATAATGAAATATAAACCACCGAACTCTTACGCCCGTATTCTAAAAGCTCACTCACACTCAGTGAGTGGAGGTTCAATCTGAGCTTCTCTTGTGTTTCAATGCTGTTTTTGAATAACTGGAGGGTTAGTGTCGTACCTTGCTATGTGTCTAGACTCACCCTCCAGCTATTCAAAAACAGCATTGACACTTGAGAGAAGCTCAGATTGAACCTCCACTCATTGAGTGTGAGTGAGCTTTTAGAATACAGGCGTTAACCATTCTGTATGTACTTACAGTATACATCAACTGACATATGCAAAAAACAAAAATTATCAGAGAATACCACGGTGAGTGTGTGCTTTCCACCGTCCAGTTTATTCTTAAAGGAATACCGAATGGTTTTCCGTGCAGGATTGCGTGATCCATGCACGAGGGATGTCGCGAGACTTTCGGAAAGCGTAAAAATGCTCGAGCCGCAGGCGAGTGTATTTTTACGCTTTCCGAAAGTCGAGCAACATCCCAAGTGCATGGATCACGCTATCCTGCTTGGAAAACCATTTGGTAATTGTTTTATAAAATAACTACAGTGAAACAATGACATTTTGAGAATCTCGCGAAAATCCCGATAAGGAATTTAATTCCTCGTGCAGGATAGCCTGATCCTGCACGGCTATTGACCAATCAAATTGCGTGTTTCACTGTAGTTATTATATAATCACTTTTACTATCTTTTAGCATGTTTACCTCACATCTTGTTCTTTAACAGTAACAGTAACAGTAATTTTAATCAAAAGAAAAAATATACAAAAATTTAACAGTTGTCTGCAGGTAGCGAAAGCTATTCGAGGCAGACAACTGGAAGACTATACTTCCAGTTAATTATAGAGATGACATATAAGTTTCAAAATATAAAAATGACATACAAGTTTAACACATAAAATGACATATAAGTTTCAAAATATATGCAATAATAATATTTTATCTTAGAAGAATTTAGCTGAATTTATCTAATTGTTATATTTTTCAATCTGTTTGTTAACATTGCGATATCAACATAATCCTCCTCATTTGTAAATATAGAAACTAATACTTTATGTAATGTTTTCTTAAATTTATTCATCGGAAAATTACGCAAGTCACATGGAATGCTATTCCATATTTTTGGGCCAGTTCTGGAAAAAGAATTATTCAGTTTATTTAAACATGAATGTTTCACATAGAAGTTGACGTTTGAAGAAAATCTGGTATTATAGCCATGTATGTCATGAGTATAGACCAATTGCGAAACTTAGTGGCCGCGCCTTCATACTGCACGAAAACGAGGCTTATTATGCAAAAACAAAACAATTTCTATATTTTTATATAGCGAAAAGTGTATTTTAGGGTTTTTAAAGTGTTTTTTTCTTTAATCTCTTTGATCTTTTCTTAATATTTCGTGCTAGGTTATACAAATATTTGTTAAATTTATCTAAACATCGATTTCCCACTATATTTTTACCCGCTTTGGAGAGAATTTCGTTGTTGTTTTAGCATGCGATGGAACAAATATATGGAAAAGATCAATCTAGACTTTAAAATCTGATCAAGATGCAAATAAAATAGCCTGTATAACTTAAACTAAAATATAACTCTTTCTACCCAGACTTTTTTAGACTTCGTGCGAGAAAAAACGATTTTGTCAAAGGATAATAACATAAAATTTCTACAAATTTTGCCCGACATTTTCTTTCATATTTTTAAAGTTAAAATCGAAAACTTGCTATTATATTACAACTGAAACAAAATTAATCAATGTTACAACTTAGTCTTTGAAATGTATTAATAAAACAGACGGAAAATACCTGATTCTTTCTCTGGCATAATCTGCTTCTTTTATCGGACGGCGAAAAACAGCAAAACATTGCCTCGCACGCCGCGAAAAACAATGAAATTTGAAGTAAGACTAAATCTATGAACAAGTTTAATAAAGATTTACATTGTCAAAACAGGAATATTGAAAAAAAATGAAGAGATTACCATAAAAACGCGTCTCAAACACTGAAATTCATTTTTCGCCATATAAAAATATAGCAGAATGATTTGTTTTTGCATAATAAGCCTCGTTTTCGTGTAGTTTAAGGCGCGGTCACTAAGTTTCGCAATTGGTCTATAAGTAAGGAGATTTGATATATGTAGTGGTGCCAAGTTATTATGTACATCATGCATCAGAATAGAGACAGATTTAAAGTATAACATCTCAACAGGTAGAATATTGGAAGAAAAGAAAGGAATTGCATGGGATGTATAATCCCCAAAGTAGATTAACCGAAGAACACGTTTTTGAAGCTTTAAAATTTTATCATAAGATGAACTTTGGCAGCCTGACCCCATACTGCTATGCCATATGAAATATGAGGAAGAATAAGAGATTTATAAATGTTTATTAAAGTATTTCTAGGTACAAAATGCCTTAATTTGGAGATATTAATGCCCACTGTCTTACTTATTTTTGAAGCAACGTGATTAATATGGTTTTCTAATTTTTTACTCCCATACTGTTACGGTGAGTATATTATCGATTTTATTTTCATGTGTTTCAAATAATAAATAGAATATCTAAAATATAATTCTGTCTAACCATAGTTAATAGAATAGATGGTTTGGAAACTCATTAGAATAACAATTTAACTCATTATCTATGTTAGTCAACGTTTATTCATAAATCTGGTCCTTCACCGTCACGTTAGCCTGCGTGCAGGCCCAAGGGAATTCCCTTGGGCCTGCACGCAGGCTACCGTCACGTGTGTATTGTATTTTTGCCAAATCCACCAATAGCAATTTCCAATTTACCCTATTGTTCGAGTCACGGATAGGTAACTTTCTTAAAACATTGCTATTGGTTAGTTGGGCAAAAATACAATACGCACGTGACGGTGAACGACCAGATTTATGAATAAACGTTGACTAACATAGATAATGAGTTAAATTGTTATTCTAATGAGTTTCCAAACCATCTATTCTATTAACTATGGTCCAACACGTCTGCATATGCATATACAGAAGCCTCAATCTATACAATATAACTGCAAGCATACCAACATTTATTGCCCATCCTCGGTCAACAGCCAGTTTCCCAGCCTACAATAGAAAACTATAACTTGCAAATGGTTCATAAAACAGGAACAAAAACAATGTTAAAACAATTTTGTATGATAAAATTACAATACAATTGTATTTAATATACGTACCAAAACAGTTCCTCCCGTTTGCAATCTCAGTGGCTTTAACAACACTCTTTGGACAATGAAGTTTGGTAGGAGTGCAACTGGTGGCACTTCAGTAACTGCAGCAACTTTCCACGACCACTATATATAGAAATTAAAAGGTAGATTATTATTATTAGTATTATTATAATATTTAACCAGGATACCAACATCACCTGGATATCAACAAGTGCTTTTCAGTGGGGACCTGCAATTATAAACTTCAATTATATATAAATTAAATATCAGGATTTAGCTTCAATTAGATATCAATATTATTTATCTTCAGTTAGATATCAGGATTTTGGACATCTACACTCGATATAACTAATTGCAGGGTTTTGTAGATGGAAATTTTGAGTGTGGATTTTATACATTTATCAGACCTAACCAGGAGCAGGGGCAAAAAATGCAACTATATATATAGGCCATTTGGCGGGAATCGAACCTGCGGTACCTGAAAAAAAAATAGGTTAACTTTGAACGAAGCCTGTTGTCTGGACTGTAGGGATTTGCTCAAGATGTCGAAGTTTAATATTTTTCATGCAATTTCGACAAAAACCTTGTTTGGTTTACTTAAACCTACTATAAATAAAGCGTCATGTATTTTGTGAGGAAATAAAATTAAAATTTGGCTTCTCTAAGTAGAGTACTACTCCGGGTGGCTATGAGATAGTTAATGATCTGCGAATCTCCTTGTCACTCTCTATATCCGATAAGTTGAGGGCATGGGTCGTGCCCAGTCTGCGCGCGGTTCCTATGATATAAGGTACTATAAATATGATCAAGTACCTTCAGGCTATCCAAGTATTCTTGTGTGTGAACTTCCAGCAAATGTTTTTCACTTGCTTCAACTGGTGCAATGAAATTTTCATTCTTTAGAACACCACTGTCTGGTAAAGCAATTTTACAAGAGATAACTTTACTTACAGCACAAAGAATGACAAAACTAGAACTGATATTAAGTACAATTTAAAATGACGAGGACGCCGGAGTGCCATGATACTGGATGTGCTTATCTGGCAGAGTGTAATATTATAATAAGAAGTAATAACAGTAAAATGCAATTATATTGCAGTATATCCGTCTGCCCCAAATTACGAATCTATTACTCTCAAGTAAATGTTTCTCATTACTTATTACTCAATAAAATGCTGCATATACCTAATAACAATCCAACAGTCCTGCCCCATTTTTCTGAATCAAATGGGTGAAGCTTTTGTAAATAAAAAAAGCTGATGTTGTAATTAGGACTGTAAACTATTGGCCACTGGGTTGGATTTAGATCTTTGTATAATTCATTTCTGAAAGAGATTAGATAATTTATTTCATTAGAAAAATATTACGTTAATTTAGCATCTACCATAAGTTCATAACTATGTCATGTTTCCCCTCTGCTTGGTTTGTATAGTTTGTCTTTTCTGTTTGTCTGCTAGCAGGACAACTTGATCATTTAGTTCAGTACGAAAATATGGAGCTAGTGGCCGTAGCCCAAGGAAATCGAAAAGAAAATTGACGACATCTTAAACATGTGATTGTGCGGATAATGACAATAACGACATCTGCAGTTTTATGGCATAACTGATCTACCAAGCGTGTACTACATTGGTACATTGTGCCGACGTTTCGTTTGTCCCACATTGCGTTACATTTCTTTCACGGATAATAGCTAGACCTTTCCCCTTATAACCAAAATTTTGATCTAGGCAAGTCTAGACAAATATTTCATCACAGCTTGAAAGAGCATCACAAAATTAGTAATATTCCAAAGTTTCGTTGCGAAATGTTGTAAAATGAGGAAAATAGAGCCTTGTGAAGTTTGCAATTTTCAGTCATTTTGCATTACAAACGGGAAATTGCAGCCCCAACACCCGAATCGGATGTCAAGTTCCCGTTTGTAATACAAAATGACTGAAAAACGGCAAACTTCGCAAGGCTATATTATCCGCATTTTACAAGATTTTGCAACAAAACTCTGGAATATTACTAATTTTGTGATGCTCTTTCAAGCTGTGATGAAATTTTTGTCTAGATCGAAATTTTAGTTATAAGGGGAAAGGTCCATTCTGGGTTGTCTACTGTATACCTCTACCAGTTATTTCTTCTTTTCAACACTTTCGCCACATCTCCTGTTCTTATTACGAACTCTGTTACATTTAATTTTTTTTTATTTTAACTTTCTCTCCAATGCTTTCATCCATGGCAGATTAAGGTTTTACTAAACAGTTTTCAAATCTGCCTACATAACTGAATCGCAACGCACGTATTTCAGTGAATCGCTTGTAGCATAGAAGTTATTGTATGCGCCTAATTAGCTCCAGCTTTCGGCTTCGATTCCCTCTCGCATAAATTTTTCAAACTTTTTTCTCGATTTCTAAATAATCTTTTAGACATTTTGTGGTGAGGATTGGGAGTTGTTTATTTTATAAACTCTTATTCAAACTACACTACTACAGTATATATAAGACATAGTGTAGCCACTGTGTGATGACTTCTATAAATATTTAGCCTGGCAAAGTCCATTTAAACGCATGGCTTAAGCATACTCGTTACACTTGTAACGCGTTACAGGCTACTTGTTACATTTGTTGTAATTTTGACCTGTAATACATCGTTTCGATCGACCAACGTCATTTGGTCTAGGAGCCTAGCTCTCATGAATCGTGAGCCAATCACATTGCGTAATTTACTAATGAGAGCGAGGCTCCAAGACCAAAAAGTATGTGTGACGTAATTATCGAAAGGGTGATAGTATTAATTACATTTTTCAAAAGGAACGGGAAAAGCCAAGTACAGTAATGTAGAGCCTGCTCGCAGGCTAAGTGATTACAAAATAAAGGAACGCAAAATAAAAGAACACATAAAATGAATGTTATTTACGATCAAGAAAAGTATGAACCACGTTGAAAATTGCTATCTTTGTGGCTTTGATTGCCATCTTGTCTCAGTGCTTCCTGCACCTTTTCGGAAATTTGGATTTACAATTTCTCTGGCATCAATCAGCTAGTGGCACTGTAATATTTTTGCCAATTACCGAAGTAAACCCTAACTACCATCATTAAACATGGTTTACTTTCAGTCTTTTTAGAGAAGTGTAGTTAGCAACTTAGCATAGTACAGTTTTTCGTACCCCCAAATGAGAGTGTAGTATATAGGGGTAGGGGGTTTAGATCGTGTTACACATGAAGAAAAACAGCCTTTTCACGTTTCACATGTAAAAAATTAACCGTTTACAAAAATTAAAAAAAACAACTTTCTGTCTTGAGTATTTTATGCCTAATTTATTAACCTGTTAGCCTATATTTACATTCTCATAACTAATTTGAACATAAAGCTCAACAATGATTTAAGACAGCTTTTTAAAATCAACAGAATGATATCATTAATGACAGATATGTCTAGTAAAATCAAGAAAATACATTCATGTATCCAGGGACGTCGCTATAGGGGTGTGTGTGTGTGGGGAGGGGAGGTGTAACACCCCCAATAATTCAAACGTTGGTCAAAGTTGGTCAAAATGGAAGTGATATTTGCCCAAAGTTGGTCAAAATGGAACTGATATTTGCCTAAAATTGAAGGTAAAACTGGGTAAATTTGGTCAAAGTTTGGGATAAAGGATGGTCGAAGTTGCCGAAAGTTATGAAATGCTTCATAATTTTAACAATTTTAAAGCTTTTGTTATGTTTGCGGTGAAAAAATTGGAAGCATTGCTTACATTGGTCGAAAAATTTTCGAATTTGCTTATGTTAGTCGGGAAAAATTTTTTCAACTTGGTCAAAATCCTAGGAAATGTTGGTCAAAATCCTAGGAAATGTTCGTCAAAACATGACAACCCCCCCCCCCCCTTTGCGACGTCCCTGCATGTATCACATGTAGTACATCCAAAGCATTGCTCATTTGCTCTTCTTCACATTAGCACTTCTCACTACTGTCCAGTCTTTAATTGTTCTACAGACCTCAAGTAAATTCTCATTTCCCGGACAAAAATTACTGGCATGCAATCACAACTCACAGCTATGCAAATAATATTAATTTCACAACACAAAATCTGTCATTTCACATTTCATGAGAACATTAAATATTGGCAATTCAAATACGTTTTAATCCAAAAAGAAGCTATATACAGCCTGTTAATTTTGATCCAAAAAGAGTCATCAGGTGGCTATGGGCTGCTTAATGTTAATATGGTTGGAAATGTGGGGGTGTGAACATTCAAACAATACATAGTCATCCATTCCTGTCTTTGTGTAATCTATATTGTTTATCAGGAATTTCTTTATTTAATTTGTGGTTACAGCTAGGTCTCAATATTTTTTCTTTAGCTCCAGATTTTTCATCTTAACTTCATATTTCAATCACAGAAATGGACCCCAGAATTGAAATTGCTAATTCAGTCCATACCACAATATATATTCTTGTTGTTTGGACATTCGGGGGATGATTTTACTGTGTTTTGAGAATTCTGTTTTTCCTATAGATTTGACTGGAATTTGCAGCTGCAATGAAAACATGTCAGATTGGAGAAATAGGTATAGGACAATTGAATTATATTGCCAAGTATTTTGAGGCAAAAACATAACATGTTTGTTCAGACCAGATCATGCATGTGAGGTTCAAATTTGGTAATAGTTACAAATTCTTTTAAGCTAATTAGCTACCAATTCTAGGTAGGGTTGGGTGATATTTTAATATAATTGTGATATGTTCACTCATGACTATTGTATCAATGAGTGACGATATACCGTAATTATCATTATGCTTAATGACTATTGTGATACGTCTGTTGGCATGTGTACATGAAACAATATCTAAAACTGACTGTGGCCACCAGGGCCGAGTGGGTGCATATTCATCTATTTGTGTTCTGCCCGACGGATTTCTTTTGAAGGCCATTGTGCTTATGGTATGTGAACACGAGCATATGAATATACAACCTCCCCCCCCCCCCAATTATTGTGTCTAGCTACGGCCCTGGTGGCCACTGTTTTTATTGCATATTTAACACGATATATTTATTGAATATGAATGATAATTTCCTTAATTTATATTACAACAGTCATGAACATCTAGCCGAGGGTGGATAGTTTGTAGGTTCCACCAAACATCTTTGCTGCCAGTGGCAAACCCAAAAAACAAAATTCCACCCTAGGCTATAGCTAACATTTCTTGAATTATAATTGACAAGCCCTACCCCTCTCAACATGCTTTATATTGTATAGTACTTCTAATGAAAACCACTGTCATACACAATTGTAATGGCGTATTTACCCTGAGACTCCCTTGTCCGCCTTGTCCTTTTCTGCAATCTTGCATTTCTTGGAAATATTTGTCTGTTGCTCAAATGTTTTTTCAGCCATATATTTTGCTGTTTTTGCATGCCTTGCTGAACGAAGGTCACGAATTATAAACAACATGCAATTCGATTCATCGCAACAATACCACAGACGTTGTTTTAAAATAAAGTCAGATACATGTAAGCTTAGAAAAGGACCAAAAGGTGAAAGCAAACTTATTTCTCGAAACTTTCGATTCCTTGTATAAATTCAGTAATTGTTTGTTCGTGTATCCCGCAATGTTGTTCGTGTATCCCGCCGTTCCCGCGCGTGTTAAATACGTCATTGCTCACATTTCACGCGAAGTTGAAGCTTCAAAAAAGTGCTTCAAACACGTTTTAATATCATAAAAAGTACCGGCTGTTTGTGGCTTATAAACCATTTTATTGCTCGTAAAAGTACTAGAAGAAAGTTTTAGCATCAAAGTAGTGAAATAAATGTACTCTTCTCGTAGTTTATTTAATATATTTATGGTAGATGTCTGCAAATTCTGAGGAATTAACCTCTTCTCCTCCTGCAAAGAAAGCCAGAACAGACAACGAAAGTAGTGAAGAAAGCACAATAAATTTGAATAATAACAATTTTAATAATCATACGGTGGGTTTATGTTTTACTTGTATCCTGTAAAGTTTGTGTAACAAGCATTTCAATTGTAAAATGATACAATATTTAAACGTTTATGTAGGACGGTGACATGGATACGTCAAAGAACCACGCACAAATTGATGAAAGTCTGTATTCTAGACAGCTGTAAGTTTGTATTTATACTCATAATAACCAATATAGCATTGTGTAAACTATAAAAATCAGCTAGCCAGATGTCACTATTAATAAATATGTCTAAGCAATCCACTATAAAGAATGCAAGTTGCTTTCATTTTCCAAATGCAATTTGACATGCCTCAGTCTATAATTACTATGTACACAGCACCATTTTTGATCAACCAAATCATCAAACATGTTTTCAGAATTAGCAAGCAAGAAATGAGACACAATCTGGTATAAGTATAAAATTAACTGACACTAGAAAGGTGTGGTTGGATGTAGCTACATGGCTATGCTGATTTATATTAGCTAGCCGTGCCTGTATATGCATGAGCACAGCAAGCTATTAAAGGTGTATAGGGAACATAGGGTTTTTTGTTCGTAATCTCTAATGGCCTGTTCACAATAACATTAAATGTCATAATTTCCCTGACCCATGCTTTTTCCCCAAAGTTGTACAAGCAGTTGTCACGATTATCGTATCAAAAGTAGAAACTTGAGCGACGATATATCGAAATTATCGTCATGGTCGATGACTATCGTGATATTACTTCGCATGTGCATATAGCTATTATAAAATCCTAAAAAATTCTTTCAATTCCCTAGAAAATATAGTTTTTAAAAGAATTAAAACTATTTCCTGAATTAAATACGAATTTAATATGATACAAAAGCTAATATTGGGTCATTCCAGAAAACATCCATACCACCCCCACAGAGGAAATAGGAAGTTAACCCCCCTCCCCCTTCGGATGTCCTAATACATTTACTATTATCAGAAACAATTTTTTCTCCCCTCCCCCTCCGGACGGCAGAAATTTCCTCCATAGGGGGAGTATGGATCTTTTCTGGAACGACCCATTTATGTATTAATCTGCTGAACAATGAAATTGCAGACTTTGCTTGCGCTGTGTACCCACAGCATTTGTGCCAGCGGAGACACAGTAGACACTGCATAGACAGTTCTGGTTTATGAACAGTAAATATTAGACTAGGAAAAGCCTTGATATTACTTTAATTTATTGTTTTACTTGTTTTTAATACGATTATATTATAATGGTCATTGTTTTTATTGCATTTATCGCAATATTATCGAATATCATGATAATTTCCTTGACAATAATCGTGAGATGATTTTTTTAATATCGCCCAACCCTATTGCAGACCTGCAAATTATAGTGCCGGTCATCGGACAGTGTCCGGCCAAATTTTGCCTTTTGTCCGATCAAAGCTTTTTATGATCGGACATGTGACCGATTTAGGCTGGTCAAATGTCCAATATGTCAAAAAAAGATTTTTGACTAAGGCATAAAAAAAATACCTGTGGTTCTGGTTTCATATCTGGTGTTTAAGAGCTACATGTAGCCGATACAAATTGCGTGCTCATTATAATCGCTAGCCTGCGAAAACAGCCTCTACTTTGCTATACAATCGCCAATCACATAGCTTTATCACAGTCTCAAACCTTCGACAAACATATCCACATTCCTCTCCTCCCCTTCGGACATCCTAAGACATTTTTCTTCCCTCCCCCTTCGGACATCCTAAGACATTTTTCCTCCCTCCCCTTCGGACAGCAAAAATTTCCTCTGTGGTGGGGGGGGGGGGTATGGATCTTTTCTGGAACGACCCATTGTCCGAGAGAAGCTGATAAATGTCCGACTATATTTTGTCTTGGTTGGAGTCGGACATTTGTCCTTCCAAGCAAAATACTTATTTGCAGGTCTGGTTTTGTCCGGCAAAACTTTCGATCTGTGTATGTTGCCCATTTATGCCACTTGTCATGTTGTAAGTGTTCTAACATTTAACAATTATTCGCTGAAGGCGAGGGGATTATCGGGAAATATTCGCCAAGACGAAGTCGAGGTGAATATTCCCCGATAATCACCGAGCCCGAGGCGAATAATTGTTTTAGTATTTTTGCACAAGTTTTTTTGTGTTTTTCTTGTCTGAATTCATTTTAATTTTGCTTATTTCTTTATAAGCTAGCCACCATTTTGAAAATTTTGATTTTGTTATATTCACCTGTAGGTGAATATAACAGATTAATACGTCAAATTTGACCAATCACCTTGTAGGATTTGTTATGTCCACTTGTGCAAAAATACTAAAAGCCATTACTGATTACTATGCACAGTTTGGCACTGTCATAACTGCTCAGAGGCAGCCCATGAATGGTTTCATAAAAACTAGTTGATGAAATACTAAATACATTTTTACTGTCAAAAGACAAAAGGCACCTGATCTGGGTTTCCAGGAATAGTGTGATCGCTGAGGAACAATTTGATCAGTGTAATATTCGGCACTCATAACTGGAACATAATGTCCGGAAATTTTGTCCGGTGTACCGGACAAAGTGTCCATCAGCTGAAAATATTTATTTCAAGGCTTGATGCATGAATATGAGCTATGCCATCATAACCAAGACTATGTCTGACAGGAAGGGTCTGAACTATCAAGAATTATGAGGAAGATCATACTAGTAGGTTACCCCCCCCCCATCCACCACCGGAAGTGATTCAAGCGAATGACGTCAACAGGGGGTGTACGTCCGGGCGTTCGTACTTAGCGTACGTACTTAGCGTACGTACTTAGCGTGCGTCCAAGCGTACGTCCAAGCGTTCGTACTTAGTGTACGTCCAGTTTTAGTAAGCATTACGTAATTGTATCGCACTTGTCCTGACCAAGTATGCGTTCTTCAAGGTCGAATAATGTTGACGAAGTTTCGCCTATGGAATTTCGGAAGCTATGCAATTTGTTAGAGACAATATTTGCACAAACTGTTTCTTGCGAGGTTTATGAGCTTTTCGAAGAGAGGTGCTGTGGTTGTAAACTAAATCGCTTTAGTCAGAGTGAGTGTCTTATGTTATCGTATGAGGAGAGATTGCAGATGTATGATTTGGAAGCCATAGAGCGAGTTAGCAAAAAAGACATGGTATGGAATAAGTTTGTTGAGGTGACCAAAGTTTTAGAGCTTCAGTGGGATGAAAGCGTGTTTGAATATTGGAATCAATTGAGGAGAGACCCCATGTATGTTAAATCAATGATAAGTGTGGAGAACAGAGAGATGCTGAGTATTCTAGACCAACTTTGTAACTGCAAAGAGGTTTGTTGTGATGACCCACTTGAACCTGGGGCTATGGTCTTTTTTTTCAATGCCCCCTAGTTTTAAGTATACTGTGAAAGCGACAGGCGAGCAATTTAGAAGTCATGAAGAAGATCATTATAAGGCATATGTGGAATATTTGAGAAGTAAACTTTGAGATTCAGTGTAAATATGTTAATAATCGAGTTTCGTTTTTATTCTTTTTTGTAAAATTGGTGGTTCTTAAAAGAACCGGTGTTTTGTGTTTGTCTTTACTGTTGCAGCCACATCGCAAAGGCTTCTACTTCGACTTTTGCGCAGTGTTGATAAGCGTTGCTTTCCAGGTGGTTCCCGCAGGTTTCTAACGAGATCAGTTGATCAAATAGTTTTTCAGCTTTGGGACAATTAAAGCATTCCAAATTTACGGCCGGAATACGGAGACTCGCCAGCAAATCCCTTTCGTAATGTCCGCCTTTGAAGGCAATTGTAGAGTTTGAATCTATCTGTATTTCACGGTAGAAATTCTCTACAATTGCCTGCAAGTCCGAAATTTGAAATGCTTTAGTGCCCCGTGGCATTCCAAACGGGAGTTTATGTATATTCTTCTGGACGAAGTTACACGTTCTCTTGTCTTTCTCGTTCAGCTCGTTCCAGTGTAAGCCAATATCGAAAAAGAACGACGAGGCTTCAGAGTCTCCCAACTCCTTACAGAAAAATTTCTTTCCAGTTTGAAATCCGTCCATGTCAAGGATCCCAACGATGTCTGCTTTACACTGCATGTTGACTGATTGATTGTGATGTGAATTAGGTTGTTTGAAACACTAATCTGCGTTCTTGCGTGCGATATAACTATCGCGTGTACAAAACGTTAATCCATGTGTTAATTTATGCATGCAGTCAACCAACGCGGTAGCTTTGGCAACAATAATTTGCTCTTAAAATCAGTGCGATTTATATAGGGACACCTCTCAAAGTGTCCTGCAAGCAAGTCCCGGGCGTCCCATGCGTATGAGCACATGATCATAAGTGCTCATGAGCACATGCTCATCTGCTCATAAAACTGCAATACTGCTCAATAGCAAGGCATTTCTGCACAGTCAGTGCTAACGGAATGAGCTGCCAATTTTGCGGAAAGCAATTTAATCGTGGTTACAATCTACGAAGACACGAAAAGGAATACTGTCCCCTAGGTGCACAAGAAAGAAACATGTCTCAAACGGACGTGGATAGCCAGGAAAGGGATTTTCAAGACGACGTTTCGATAACTTCAACTGAAGTGTCTGAAATTTCGACGATGACTGATAATGAGTCGGAAACTGAAGAGGAAATGGATCCTTGGATACCGTTAATAGAAGAAGCAAAGCAAATAAGTAATATAGCATTTGAGGAAATGAAAGAAAGCCTTATCAACAGTGGTCTAGATGAACAATCCGCTAAGGACAAAGCTTACTCTAATATTCTTCCTAAACTCCAGAAGGAACTGGAAAATATTTATATGGAGCGTCTCGTGTGGATGAAACAGCTAAAGAAAGATCCAGTTCATAAGAAGATTATGCACACAAAAAATGCACTTGTGGAAAACGATGATTTTGATCCAGAAGAAGCATTAGAAGCAGCTGTTGATATGAGAAAGTTTCTTATAAAAAGGCTTTTAAAGGGTCACAAATTTGATGAGGAGAATGATGATGAATGATGATGAAGAGAATGATGATGATTAGACTCGATTAATAGGATTTAAGTCATGTATTCGAACAGTATTAGCACGTAAAAACATACCAGTATAGACCCAGCATGTAAATTGTGAGTCATTCAATAAACTGCTTTTTAATTACTTGTCTTTTCTTGTCATTTTTACATGGGTCAGGCGGGTACAAATCAAAATGGCAAAAACATGCGAATACGAAGGTGTATACATTTGTGTACATAACTGAACTTTGCAGTGGCTTCCACGAAAAATGTACACCCAGTCTTCGGGCCTAAACGGGTCTTATGAGAAGATGAGCAT